GTTTCTCTTATATCCGGGTCTCTTATATCCGGGTTACACTGTAATATAATAAAAAATCACCCCCCACTCCCTTTGTGTTTGTATAATGCTCATAGTTTCTGGTCGTAAGATTACGGAAAACATTGGAACAAAATGTTGAGTGAGGAAGGGTTTAGTGACATGAGAACATGGATTGGCAATACAGTAGTTCAGTGTGACAAGTGTACGACCGAAAGTGTTACATCTTTGAACCCACTTTTTGCCACAGTTCCATGAACAGACATTCTACTCATAATGGATGGACAAGTCTAGGTTTCAATATTACTTATAGAGAAGGTTAATCATTCTTTCTAAATTAACGTTTCTTAAATTTACTAAGGTTAGTATTTAGCTAAAATGTTGTATAATATTTTATTACAGAAGTGGTTTCATTCCTCAGATCATTCTAATGGCCATATAATTAACACTGGGTACCTCGAGGCAGTGTAAAAAAAATAGCAAGCTTGTCTAGCTAGAACAATTACGACTGAGCAGTGAGTTTGGTCCTCACTGGGTGCCCCATACTTTCGCCCTTGTGACACATCTAAGATACGCTTGGGAAATAACTTCGGCCGCCTAGACGTAGTGTAATGGTTAGAAAGCTTGTCTTGTTAGATCAGTGCCCCATATTTTCGGCCTTGTGTCACATCTAAGCTACGCTTAGAAAATCAATAGTTAGGGCAACTCGAGACGGTGTAATGGTTAACAAGCTTGTCTCGCTAAAACAGTTACGACTGAATAGTGAGTTCGATCCTCACTGGATGACCCATATTTACGTCTTTGTGCCACATCTATACTACGCTTGGAAAATCAGTTTAATTAATATTGATTCCACGAATCAGACATTTTTTTAAAGGGTTTCACCCCAAGCAAGGCGGGAAGCCACTAGCACGCAAGGGGTTACAGAGAGTTGGAGCGAAAGCAAATAGGAGTGATAGAGGAAAGGATGAAGAGAAGGATAGTGGATAGATCAGGCTATCTGGAGACGTCAATTGGCATTACATTTGAATAGTTCGAGATTATAGCTAGCAGGGAAACAGGAAAAGGGGAGTGAGTTCCACAGGCGAGAAGTGCGAAACATGAAGCTATTGGAGTAGAAGAGACAGCTACATTTTACAGTTTCGACAGTGATAAGGCTTAGAGAATTTATGAAATAAAGATCATTTACATTATTTACATTATTCAGACTATTGTCCTAATTTTTGTCGCCATATTTATTACAACTTTTCGGCCGTTATACGCTCCGACCTTCTTCAGGTGGTTGGAATGTCGACAGGAGATAACTGATAACTGACATCCATTAAACATGGCACGTGGAACTAGAACAGTCTACCCCAGTGAGAAAAGTAACTACCATTCCAACTACCTGAAGAAGGCCGGAGCGTACAACGGCCGAAACGTTGTAATAAATATGGCAACAAAGATTAGGACAATAGTCCGAATAATATAAATAATGTACATAATACCTCATCTCAGAAATATCGACAGATACTGAAAGGTCGAAACGTTGTAATAAATATGGCGACAAAGATGAGGAATATAGTCCGAATAATGTAAATAGTGTACATAATACCTCATCTCAGAAATATAGACAGATATGATTTAGGCCGAAACGTTGTAATAAATATGGCGACAAAGATGAGGAATATAGTCCGAATAATGTAAATAGTGTACATAATACCTCATCTCAGAAATATAGACAGATACTGAAGGGCCGAAACGTTGTAATAAATATGGCGACAAAGATGAGGACAATAGTTCGAATAATGTAAATAATGTACATAATACCTCATCTCAGAAATATAGAAAAAGATCTTTTATGTAAAAAAAAATATATGCTCACGTAAAGCTCTTGGTAACATTCTTGCAGAAAGCCATTTTCATTAAATGGGAATCTTCGGAACTTGATAGTTGCTGGTTGGTAAAACTGTAAGGGAAACACTGGAACAAAAGGTTGATTGAAGAAGGGTTTAGTCACATGAGCACATGGATTGACAAGTGTACGACTGAAAAGTGCTACACCTTTGGGACCCACTTTTCGCCACTGTTCCATGAACACCCGTTCTACTTATAAGAAGTCCAGGTTTCTTCGTGGTTTATATTTCAATACATAGCAGAAACACCAGAACAGATATAGCAGAAATCTGTCTCTCCTGGCGTGAAAATTTAAGAATTATTTAAGCAAAAGGTACCCAGAATGGGTACTTAATGAAAGATATAAAAATAAAATGAAATAAAACAACAGAAATCTATTCAATACACCTAAACAAAAAAAAAAATTATCTATTCTCCGTACTAATCATCCCTCACGTCCAGCATTTCAGACGTAACCCCACCCACAACATCCCGTATCCCTCAGGGGAAAAGGAGCATAATTCACAAATTCAATCAGGATCAGAAGGCCACAATCAACGAAATGCGACTGAAGGCCGGACTTGATGATTTCCTCTGGGAGCAAAGAACGTTACCTATTCATACGCCAGCCTTACCTGTCCAGTCTCCAAGGCGCATGCGTGAACTACAGTTTTTGAAAGAAATATATTGTTAAATTCGTCAGACAGAGGTGAAGATCCGGCAAAGAAAACGCCAACAAATGAAAAGAGAGAAGAAACGGGAGTCTTAGAGAGAAGGCTAATGGAAGAAGAAGAAAAAAATGGAGAGATATTTAGAGAGAGAAAGGAGAAAGAAATAGTGAGAAAAAAAAGGAGGAGAATAAAAAAAAAAAAGAGAGAAAAAAGATGAGATCAAGAGTTAAAAAAAAAAAAGAAGATAAAGCCTAAACGGGAAAGAGAAGAGAAGCAAGAAAGTGACAGAGAGAGTGAATGAGAGTTAGAAATAGAGAAAAAGAAAAAAAGAATATAAAGAGAGAGAAGAAAAGTGAAAGAGAAAGAGAAAGTGAATCAGATGTAGAGAGAGAGATAGAAAAGAAATATACCGGGTGTAACAGCAAAATTGTCCATCCCACAAAATGTTTAATATCTAAAAAAAAAAAAAAAAAATCACTAAACTATTTGAGTTTCTTTTTTGCAGGCTTTCAAATAAGACGTTTAGCCATCTTGACAGCATATATCGTAAGAATCACAGAAAAGAAACCTTTGATTTATTCAACTACAAAGCGAACAGGTTAAAATTGTTTTATGTTCGCCTCATGGTTTTCCAAATTGAGCAATGGTGGGAGGAAAAAGATCATTCAACCTTTAGTAATGGTACCAAGATTCATACTCTGGCTTCAATCTTCAAAGTCCATTCAGAAACCATCAAGAGAACGGAGAATAAGTTTTTAAAAGAGGGAACAGTAAAGAGGAAAACTAATCGTTAATATTAATTGGACAGCAGAGTTCCAATGTCCGTTATATTCACTTACGCGCAAATAGCCAAAGGAAAGGGTATCAATCCACATTTCCCCCAGCTATGGGTTAATTAGTAACACACTAAATCATTATTATCTAAAAAAACGGATTATATATCTTACTGTACCTTCTCTTCATTATATATATATATATATATATATATATATATATATATATATATATATATATATATATATATATATATATATATATATATATATATATATATATATATATATATATATATATATATATATATATATATATATATATATATATATATATATATATATATATATATATATATATATATATATATATATATATATATATATAAACGGTTAATGGATATCGGCTTGGATTGTGGAATCTCAGATCCGAGTTCGAATCCACTACATTCACTTACGTGCTAATACCCTTGGGAAAGGTATGAATCTTCTTCTCCCTCCAGCTATGGGTTAAATAGCAGGACAGACTGGGTTCTATAGCCTTGGATGGCAACTGGTCTAGGAGAAGGACAACTCTGAATTCAAAACCTGAGTGGGGGGTCGTTTGGGGACCTTGTGGCACTTAGTGCACCAGATCTCTCTATTCGGCCCTCCAAAAAGTGTGGATGGTCCTGCACGAAACCTTCACCACTATAATCGAATCTCATGTGCCGGTGTCGGGCTGTCAGTTCCCTGGAAACTGATCTGCTTGAACCTCATACGTCGAACCCGACGGGAGAATCGATTTTATATATATATATTATTAATAGAAATCTTATAAGTGTAAGAAACTATACTCTTTCGGAAGCCAGTCTTCCCTGACGATCCGCTTAGGTGAGACCTTGATAGGTTTGTCTGGCTCTCTAGATTTAACTAGGTTATATATATATATATATATATATATATATATATATATTACCAGCAATGCATTTTCGAAATAAAAATTTACTAGCAATAAAAATCTTGTCGGCATTAAATAACCCATTGAGGTTGAGATGCCGTAAAACAAGTCAAACTAAACCAAATGACATCATGACTAAATTGGATATCAAATGTAACTCAAAGAGAAAATAAGGACTTAATCAAGATGTTGATATTCCACACTACTTCAAATGAAAATAAGAAGGAAACCTCTTCAATAGTAGAAAGATTAACAGCTATTGGACATGGAAAGTCTGTCCAGTTAATGAATACGTAAATGTTTCCTTATACGGAAACGGCTAATACTACCTGTGCATCAGCATTCTTGCATCAAAATCGACGATGTTAAGAGTCGAGAAAACGAATCGGGTGTCAAGAAGAGGCTGGAGGCGACCATTTATTTCCTGCATCGAACTTTCGCCGACCTTCTGCTGAAGTTTTGGCCGGAGTTCCCATTCAGCTATTTCCCCGACATCTATTAACGTATTCTTTTCTTCCAAACCATTTTACATGAAGACATTTTGATGGAAATAAGCGCGGACAATATTCGTTAGGGCGTCTGAATTGGCTGCCTTTGAGCGTCAGCGGAAGAGTTACGAAGGCACACGATTTTAAGGCAGCAATATTAGGTTACGCTGATCCCTCAGGTGAGTAGGGACGGTGTCTGATTGAAAATCACTACGCTAAATTGCCTTTTTTATATGCGCTATTCAACTCTGCACAGATCTATCTATCTATTTCAGTGTATTTCTTTCTTTCTTTCTTTCTTTTTTCTTTCTTTCTTTCTTTCTTTCTTTGTATCTATCTATGTATCTCTCTCTCTCTATTTCAGTCGATTCATATCTCTATCTATCTCTATCAGATTATTCGTATCTATCTATCTATCTATCTATCTATCTATCCATCTATTTCTTATGTATTTTTCTTTCTTTCTATCTTTGTATCTATCTATTTATCTCTCTCTCTATTTCAGTCGATTCATCTCTCTCTCTCTATCAGATTATTCGTATCTATCTATCTATCTATCTATCTATCTATCTATCTTCATCTAATTATGCCTGTTCATATCTATCTATCTATCTATCTATCTATCTATCATATCTATCTATCTATCTATCTATCTATCCGTTTCTTATGTATTTTTCTTTCTTTCTTTGTATCTATCTATGTATCTATCTCTCTTTTCAGTCGATTCATACCTATCTATCTATCTATCTATCTATCTATCTATCTATCTCGATGTATTTCTTTCTTTCTTTCTATATATGTATCTATCTCTCTATTTCAGTCAATTCATATCACTCTCTATCTATATCAGATTATTAGTATCTATCTATCTATCTATCTATCTATCTATCTATCTATCTATCTATCTATCTATCTATCTCAGTCCAAGTAAAAGTTAGCCTGAGAGTCTCTATTGTAGGATTAATTTCGAGTTTGGAAACTCATCCTACTTTTGGGAAACTCTTCACACATTATTAATTAATAAATTTTCTCCCACCGTCATTTTATTCCACTTTCTACCTACGAACGTCTTCGATTTTTTCTTAATTACTTTTTCAATAACGGCCTTGCGTCTTAGTGGCCTTATCGCCTAGCTTGGGGTGAAATGATTAACAAAAAGACAAACACGACGAAGTTTGATGAAAAAGTATTGGGACTGCTATAATGTTAGCGCCGATAAAGTGCGTAGAATGAGGCCGCTTCATATAGACTGACATTGGACGTTATAACGTTCTTGCTTATTTCCCTTGCTGTACTTGGAAGGAAAGTGTGTAGAGTGTGGTCGTCTCTCTACTCCACAGTGGCTATGGCTTATGCAGCAGTTTTAGGCCAAGCGCAACATTCCCCAATTCAGAAAAACATCACATTCCCCAGATCAGTTTTCATGGAGAGTGCTTAGATGAAATACACTCCTCAGTTCCATCAGTTCTAACCTTCACGCCCATGCCACGCCCATGCCACGCCCATTGTATGTAACCACCATCATTCCCTTCGTATTCGATTGGTTAGATATAAATTCCAACGAGCAGCTTCTTACCACGAACCATGACTTGGTGGAACCGACTCCCAAGAGGATGCTTCTCCGATCACTACAATCTTAACTTGTTCAAGTCTAGGGTCAACCATTATCTTCCCCACCTATCCGCATAAACTGTCTCTTCCTCTGCAGTCCTCTATCTGATTTGTGGAACCGACTCCCAAGAGGATGCTTTCCCTGATCACTAAAATCTCAACCTGTTCAACTCTAGGGTTAACTGTTATCTTTCAAACATATCCGCATAAACTGTCTCTTACTTTGTAGCCCTCTACCTCGAGTGGCCCTTGAAGCTTGTATAAGTTAAACATCATTGTAAAAAATTAAAATCTCACCTCTTGCGAATTTTTCCTTTTTTAAAACTCAAATCTAACTTGAAAGGAACAAAATTTCCATACATCGAGGAAATCCAAGTGAATGCGACGGGGGCAGAGTCTGGCTAGCTCCCAAAATGGTGTTCCAGGAATGCTTACCTCAGTGGAAACGACATTGGATAACGACAATCATTACTATTGATACAATCATATGCTCTCCTTTACGAAGTTATGGATCCAAATTATTTCGGTGAGAGTACAATCCTGTGAGTGTGTTGTTCATATGAACTTATTTAAATTCCTAGAGGTTTTCTCCTGTTGCAGGCATTACCAGTAATAGAATCATATTCTCCAATTTAAAATGCTGAATTTAAAGATTTGGGTAAAAGCAGAAAGGACGCCGTTAAGGGCGATTTTTTCTTTGTTGTTGAATTCTTACCATTTCGTATTAAAAAAGAACGTCATTTGTAAAACAGAGAAAAATGAAAGAGAAGCAAAAGAAACAGGCTATTTCTGTTTTAAAATATGTTTAACCCTAGAAAAAGGTTACTGAATGAGGAATAACCAAAACGGAGGTTGGAAATGAAATAGTAATGTGTCTATATTTCTGAGGTGAGGTATTATGTACAATATTTACATTATTCGGACTATTGTCCTCATCTTTGTCGACATATTTATTACAACGTTTTGGCCCTTCAGTATCTGTCTATATTTCTGAGATGAAGTATTATGTACACTATTTACATTATTCAGACTATTGTATTCATCTTTGTCGCCATATTTATTACAACGTTTCGGCCTTTCAGTATCTGTCTATATTTCTGACATGAGGTATTATGTACACTATTTACATTATTCGGACTATTGTCCTCATCTTTGTCGCCATATTTATTACAATGTTTCGGCCCTTGTACGTTCTGGCCTTCTTCAGGTGGTTGGAATTGGGGAGATAATAATGGTTTTAGTAACACAAGTTTTACTAATTAACCCATATTCGGAGGAGAAGAGATAGATTCATACAATTCCCAAGGGTATTTGCGCGTAAATGATTGAAAACAAACTCAACTGGTACTGAAACTCTGCTCTATTATTAACAGCACCTGATATTCCTAAGCGGTTACCCATCAAGGTAGTGGCCAGGCTCGACGTTGCTTAACTTCGGTGAACGTACGGTGTTTCTACGTGATGCGGCCGTAAACCAGGCGGTTTGATGCGGATATCGATACCAGCTTTGCAGAAGAATATTTTGAAATGATGCAATAGATACATTGGGAAAAAGACAACGATTGTTTATTGCCTTTTAGCTGACAGGCACTTCTTAATATGGGCATCTCCCGGCACGTACTTGTTCCGTTTGAGAGAATTCCTATATTAAGGAAAAATAAGTAAATCCCTGACACCGAGACACAAAACCATAAAGCCATTGCTCAACGTAATCCATTAGAAATCTCCCTGGATATCTCATGCTTGTTTGAAATCATCAAAAACTGAGGGACTCCCATCTTACACCCGCTATTACAAGCAAACACTAGCCAGACTAGCTTCTCTACTCACTAATCTCCCGTTCTTATATCGGCTTTACAGGTCGATAAATTGAAACATGGTGGATGGAGTCGAAGAAGAGAAAGTCCTATTGTCAATCGCCCTTTGATTTTCTCGTCTTACAGTCTCCTCATCAAGCCGTTGTCTTACCGGACATCGGTTTTATGTCAACGTGCTTGAAAAAAAGGTCAGGGAAGGGTTGCTTTCCTAAGCAGGAATTTTTCGTTTTCCAACGTTTTGATTCCACCTGATTCTTTTTCTTTTTTCCTCAGCTATGCGTGTTCTACATCCGGTTAGCGCAAATAAGTTATAGATACACGCAATTTGATGTCCCGATGTGCGCATGCACGAACGGAAGTACGGCTCGAAATAATATCTTTTTTTTTTTGCATGGACATATCAGCTAATTTTTTCTTCGATTTCTTTTTTTTTTTCATTTTCATCGTCTCCATTTGGATTTTTCTCTCTTCAAATTTGAAAATGACTTTCATTCTATACAATATTAGTTTGACATTTTTTTTTTCTGCATTTTCCACCTTTTTTGCAACATTTTCTCATTCATCAAAATTTCTTTTATTTTCTGTCTTTTTTCTGCCATACAAATTGTTTCGTTCGTTCATTATATTACATGATCCGTTCTTTGTTTCTTTGTTTCTATCTATCTATCTATCTATCTATCTATCTATCTATCTATCTATCTATCTATCTATCACAGTCGTTTCATTATCTATCTATCTATCTATCTATCTATCTATCTATCTATCTATCTATCTATCTATCATTCCAGACTATTCGTATCTATCTATCTATCTATCTATCTATCTATCTATCTATCTATCTATCTATCTATCTATTATTCCAGACTATACGTATCTATCTATCTATCTATCTATCTATCTATCTATCTATCTATCTATCTATCTATCTATTATTCCAGACTATTCGTATCTATCTATCTATCTATCTATCTATCTATCTATCTATCTATCTATCTATCTATCTTAATTTCTTTCCTAATTATTCTGTTTATTTGTTTGTTTCTTTTTACTATATAGTCTTCCATTTTTCTTTTTTTCTTTCATTTCAGCACATCGTTTTTTCTTTTCTTTCTTTTTTCTTTCTTTCTATAGTTTTGTTATATTGACATACTTTTTCCTTTTTTCTTTCCTTCTGGCATATCATTCATTCTTTCGTTCTTTCGATTTGCCATATATACATTATTTTCTTCTTTTTTTTCCCCTTTCCTTCTGATATTTCGCTCATTCTTCTTTCTTTCTTTTTAGTATGTAGTCCTTTTTTCTTTAATTTTGGCATATTTCCCTTTCTTTCCTTCTTTCTTTCTTTCTTTCTTTATTCTTTCTTTCATTCTTTCTTTCTTTATTCTGTGATATCGTTCTTTCTTTCTTTTTCGTACATAGTCCATTTTTTTAATTTTGTCATATTTCATCCTCTTTATCTTTTTTTCTTTCTCTCGTTTTGCTATATAGACCATTATTTTACTTTTATTTTTGGATATCGTTCTCTCTTTCTTTTTGGTATATAGTCTTTTTTTCTTTAATTTTGGCATATTTCCACTTTCTTCTTTCTTCCTTTTTCTTTCGTTTTGCTATATGGATCTCCTTTTTTTACTTTTATTCTGGCATATTTTACTTTCTTTCTTTCTTTTTGGTAGTCTTTTTTTCTTTATTTTTGGCATATTTCCCCTCTTTCTTTCTTTCGTTTTGATATATTGACCTTCACTTTTTCTTTTCTTCTGGCATATCGTTCTTTCTTTCTTTCTTTTCTTTTTCTTTCGTTTTGCCAGATAGACTTTTTTTGTTTCATTTTCGCATATCATTCATTCATATTTTCTTTCTTTGATTTTGGCATATCTCCCCTTTCTTCTTTATTTCTTTTTGCCATGTAAACTTTCATTTTTTTTCCTTTTTTCTTTCATTCAGGAAGATCGTTCTTTCTTTGATTTTCGTCTATTTCTCCTTCCTTTTTAATTATTTTCGTTTTTTCTTTCATTCATTTTGTATTATAGACCTACATTTTCCATTTTTTTTTCTTTTAGAACTTCTTTTTTTAATTTTAGCATGATTCTCTTTTTGCATTTCTTTTTGGTATATTTTTCTTTCTTTCTTTCTTTCATTCTTTCTTTCTTTCTTTGTGTCTTTCTTTTTTCTTTCTTTCTTTCTTCAGTCTTTCTTTTTTCTTTTCTTCTTTCCGCCTTTCTTTTTTCTTTCCTTCCTTCTGTCTTTTTTTCTTTCCCTCTCTTCGTCTATTTTTCTTTCTTTCTTTCTGTTTTTTTCTTCGTTTTACCATACAGTCTTTCTCTTTTTTTCTTACATTTTGCCATAACTTTCTTCTTTGTTTCTTTATTCCTTCAAACTTTCCTTTATCTTTTCTTTCTCTTTTTCCCTTCAGTGAATTCCATGCTGTAAACGCAAACCATTTCCGTATACGGGTAGATAAAAAGCGAAGTGACTGACACACAGACATCCAATTACAATCCAAGTT